AGAGAGCTTAAATGTTTCATGGCAGGGAGATCAATATAATGTTATGAATGTTAATTAACTAGATAGGGTCTCCTTTGGAGGGTATGCGTAAACATTTTTTAAAATAAGCTTTAAATGAAAGGAAGGCTTCTGGAAAGCTAGTTACTCATCCATGTTGACTGTTAGCTAGGTGTCTATTTTAATTATTATTTATTTTATTACATATATTTGAGTCTGATTTAATTATTACATATATTTTTTCTTAAATACTTTTTTCCTAAATAGGTAAACCTGTTTTATTCTCATTTATTGTGTACAAACATTCTCATTCTTTTATGTATTTGCCAAGACTTTTATTGTCACATTTTTTTATTCTCACCATTTTTTTTCTTTATTGGCAGTGGTCGGCAAACTGCGGCTCACAAGCCACATGCGGCTCTTTGGCCCCCTGAGTGTGGCTCTTCCACAAAATACCACGTGCGGGCACGCATGTACAGTGTGATTGAAACTTCGTGGCCCATGCGCAGAAGTCGGTATTTTGTGGAAGAGCCACACTCAAGGGGCCAAAGAGCCGCATGTGGCTTGCGAGCTACAGTTTGCCGACCGCTGGAAGGTATTACATATGTGTTCTTATCCACCCCCCCACATCCCCCTGGTGTCTGTGTCCATTGGTTATGCTTATGTGCATGCATACAAGTCCTTAGGTTGATCTCTCCCCCTTACTCCCACCCTCTCACTAGTTTTTGATCATTGTAAAATGGGGTTATCATTTTAAAAATTGTAAATCAATTATTTCAATAATTTTTAGTGAGTCTAAACATCTTACATTTTTGGTCATTTGAGTTTCCTGTTTGGTAAATTTTCTGTTCATATTCTTCATTAAATTTTTTCTTCAGTTGTTTGTCTCTTCTGTGTTGATTTATAGAGTTTTTTATGTGTGAGTAATACATATTTCAAATACCTTCTTATAGCTTGTTCGTACCTTTTACCTTTGTTATGGTGTGTTTTGTTATAGAGAAATTTAAACTTTTTGTGTAGCCAAATCTGTTATTCATATTTGCTTCATGATTTCTGTTCACTTAGGTCTTAAGAAGTCCTTTCTTATCCTGAAGTCATAAAGGTAAACTTCAGTATTTTCTTCTACGTCTAAGGTTTCATCGATTACATTTAGGCCTCTAATCTATCTGGAGTTGATTTATGTACATAATGTCTGGGAGGGACCTAATTTTATCTTTTCAATCTGAAAAGTCACCTGTCCCCATACTATTTTGAAACTATTTCATTTTCTTCTTTTTTTTTTAAAGAATCTACCAAGTACCTATATATTCTTGGGGCTATTTCTGGAATCTTATCCTTTACCATTAATTTATCCCCGCAACAATAATCATGCTCTCATCTGTTGTTGTTTTTTTTGAGCTAACATTTGGTATTTATTATGTTACACAGGAATTGTTCTAAGGGATTTGTATGTATTATTTGATCATTACAATCCTGTTGGTAGATACTCTTAAAACACTAATTTTATTTTTTTAAATTTTTATTTATTTATCTTTATTGTTGAAAGTATTACAGATGTCCCCTTCTCCCCCCCACCACCCCCGCCCCTCTATTAAGCCCCTCCACCCTTCTCCTGCCCCACCCCAACACCCAAGCCTTCACTGCACCAGTGAACTATGAAAAGGGATGTGTCATTCCAGGCAGAAACGTTTAAAAGTCAGTCTGTGAGTCTCCGAGTTCCCTCTCTCCCTCCACTGTGGTGACTGTAGATGCAAATGTTGATATTGAGTTGCCAGAAGATGAACACAGAACAGAAGATGCACCTGGAATTCTAAGCCACCACGTGGAGGACTGCGACTCCGGAGAGCCATCCAAACCCACCACACACTTTGCACGGGTAAGAGACAATCTTTTGCACTCTAGTGCTATTGACTAGCTATGTGACCTTCACCAGGTCCCTTTGCTTCCAATTTTAACATCCAGAAAATGACAAGATTAATTTATTTATTCAGTTAGTTCCCATTATATTTTGAGCTCCTACCAGGCACTGTGTGAACTTGGAAAAATAACAGTAAAAAATGGTGCAATCCCTGTACTCAAGCACTTTCCAAGTTAATAAATATCTATTGTTGATTTTCAGTTCTGAAATTCCAGAATTTTATTAAAAGGCAACAGCAAGAACAAGCCCTCCAGCATCATATTCCAGAGAGTGAGGCATTTTCTCAGGAGTTTTCTCCTTCTTTCTAAACCCACTTAGCTACAGTGTCAACTCCATCACCGCAGCTGATGCAGAAACACTCATCATTTTCAATCACTAGCGTATGTTACAGTGTACATATGGTGAAAAAATAAATAAAGCAGTATTTGGACCATTCTCACAGCAATTTTGAATTTAGTGGACACAACACTTAATAAAGAAAGTAGAAGAAAAACAGTTTGATTGAGAAATACCCAGGGCAGATAACTGCCAAAGATGTACAATCTAGATATTAAAGCCTTTTTCAATTACTTATGAATAAACCAAATTATAAAACTAAAAAATTTGAAAACTAAAAAATTATAAAACTAAAAAATTTTCAGTTCACTTTTCTCCAGAGGACTATTTATCTGTATAAAATAAAAGAAATATGAATAGGTATACTTGTGAGCGTGCGCAAAACTGATCTGCCGAATTTTAAAAAATCTCTTAGGACTCAAAGCATCATGCCAAGTTCTAATTTACTAGTTGCCTCTAGTTAAAATACAGTTCACAATGAAACATTTATAAGAATTTGAGGCATTGTCTCTAGACATGATACCCAGTTTAAAATTTGAGTGAAATATACAAAGAATTCCATTCTTTTTGTACTGGTGCAATTGTGGCATTTCCTTTATTCTTTCATACTGCATACCTAATTCTTAAACCAAAGCCAAAAACAGTGATGCAATAGTTGAATGTGTCTTCAGTGTCTTACCCTAAATAAACTTCTGATGAATCAGACCCATTTGTCATCCTTTCACAATCCTTCAACACTTAAGAGATATTGAGTTAATTTTACAATATAACAGTTTTTGATTAATTTGCTACTTGTTTGTTCTTTGAATTTATTTAATATTGGTATCTTTACTCCCCTTCTCGATAGTAAAACAAAGACAAGACCACGATCATATATGTAGTCTCATAACCTCTGGTTTGCTTAGTAAGCATCCAATGGTTATTACTGTGTTTTCTTAAAGGTAAAACAAGAATAATCAAGATCTTTGAGTAAAGTAAGGGCTTAGAGAAGCTGGTAATATTTGCTAAGGAGAGATCAATAATCAATCTCTATTCTCATTGTACATATTCTATTTTCCCTGAATGACTCAATCCACTGTCATAATGTCAAGTTCTATCTTATGTTTCCCAAACCCATACCTTCAGTCCTGGTCTTCCTGGGATCCATTTCAACCACCATCTTCACGTGGTTACCTATACAAACACCTTCAGCTCAAATATGTAAGCCAGAATGCTTTACCTTCTTTTCCCACAGTGGCTTCCTTTGTGGCCTCTCTTTCTCAGGATGGAGCCATCATCCATTTACCTGCACGATGCGCCTGGAGTCATCCTTGATTCTTCCAGTTTCCTTATCAGGCACCAAGTGCTGTTGATCCTACTTCTTTAAGAACCTGCATCCATCATCTTCCTACAACATCCAGCTTTGATTCATGCCTTCATTTCCTACCTGATTACAGTAACAGCTTCCTAAGTAGTCTTCTTGCCTCCAGTCAGCTTTCCTCCAACCATTCTCTCCATACTCGGGCTTACGACTTCTCTCACATACAAAACTGACCACGTCAGTGTACGTCCATGTCCAGTTTCACTTCACTGATTGGATGGGTGTAGTTCCACATTCTGATCTTTTCCAAGTTTTCGGACCACTGTGTCCTGAGAGCTATGGCCCTGCTTCCACACTCCTAAAATTCTCTGGCCCTCAAGTCATACTTGCCTGCCTCAGCACAGGCCCTTCTCCCTGACGATGCTTTCTCTCTTCCTGTTCACCCTATCTTCATTATTTTTTTCTTTGTGGTGATTGCAGAGAACAAGGGCATGAGAGGAAGTTTGGAAGGAAAAAATGAAAAGCACTGAAAACCTGGATCCCGATTCACTGGTGCTCTTTCCCTTTCGATCCTAGAGTCCATGGTCTTCTTTTGTAAAATGTTTTCTATTCCACGTCGTATGATAGTTTTTGAGTAGCTTTTAGTGGGTTGTACTGTGTCGTTCTGTGAGCCTCAAACAGTAGTGCCAACGTTGAGCTAAGCTACTCCAGGATATTGCTGCCTTGGCATCCATCAGCCCGTGGGGGCCTTAAACTGACACTGGCCGCCTAATGCAAGTGCACGTTCCAGACAACTGCCTACAGAGTCATGAGCAAATAAAAGTTTCTGCTATGATTTCCCCAACAGCCCTGTAATCAAGTTTTCCCTGCTTCCCAGGGCCTTCTCCTTGGGTGTGCCTTAGGTAAGACTTTCATGGGCTTACCAAAACCCCACTCTTTTTGGTTTGAATTGGACAAGCTGGCCTTAGCCTGGGAACCCAAAAGTACTCTCTCCACAGACCCAAATAAAGGCATGTGTCCCAGAACCTGCCCCCCCCCCTCTCTCCTTCTCTCTGTACCCTCCCTTAACCACCCCAAGTGGCCCCTCAAGGCCTGCTGTGTACTTCCTCCAGGACCTGTGAGTCATAAACTTGTCTATTTCAGTTTCTCTTCTGGTCTTTTGTTGTACGGGGCTCACCATCTGGCACCCTGTGCCCCGCTTCACAAATGTTGATTTAACAAAGTCACAATAGGCAATGACCCTGTCTACTGACACCGCTCTAACCTGAGGCCACTGCAGCACCACGTGAAATCTGGTGCTATATTACTTAATAAGTGTTTTCTAAAATAATAATAAAAGAAGATCAAGGAGAGAAGGAAAAAATGGAACTGTTGAGACACAGGCAAACTGCTTCAAGATAATCTTGAATCTTCGTTTAAAATAACATGTCCCGGGAAAGAAGCATTTACCTTCTGCTGTGGAAATGTAGACTCCAGCATGGCTGTTTCGAAGCTGTGGGCACCCTCTGCCTGGGTCTTCTCCCACAGAGATCTGAGAAATTGCACAGAACGGCTCTGGATGGACAGGGGCTCTGGAAATAGGCTCTGAAAGGGCATTAGTGAGAAAAACATGTTGTCTCTTGTCTCCCCAAGATTGTTTGATTGGCTACAGGGCACTACTTGGGCTTGATTTGAACTTTAACATGGTTTAAATTTAAATAGAAGAACAAAGCTACCTTGAAGATTGAACACATATTTTAGGCTTTTTATTATTATAGACTAGAGGCCCGATGCACGAAATTCATGCAAGAGTAGCCCTTCCTTCCCCCGGCTGCTGGCACTTGGCTTCCCTCTGGCAGCCAGGACCCGGGCTTCCCTCACAACCCCAGCTTCGTCTGGAAGGTCTTCCAGGAGGATGTCTGGTCTAATTAGCATATTATACTTTTATTATTATAGATAGAAAAATTAAAAGTATTGAATAAGATTTTCAAGGCAGTTGACATTGATCTCTATAAATATTCCTAATCTTTGTAACATAGTATTTACTTCAATAATTTCCCAAGCATGTTACCCAATTGGAAAATGGTCAATATAAATATTTATTTTTCAAAGCTCTGAGAATTAATGTATAAAATTAAATCTAAAGCACAAATATCAGAGTAGATTATGAAGACTAGAAATTAAATAATTGAATATTCATGTTGCACATATCTAAATATGAACATTGTGAATAGATGTGTGGGAAACAAAAAACATTTTTAATCCTAAAATGTATAATGGATGGATATTTCTAGAACTTTAAGATATTCTAAGTGTTAGATAATAAGATTGTTAATGTAAAGGAAATCACATTTATGTATATTTCATTCAAGCAAATGAAAATAAAAAGTTCAAAGGAAAATTTAAATTTTTTTTGTATATTTACTAATCTATTATGTTTTTAATAGTTATTTACATGTTGTGATGTAAATTGCTATAACTTTAAATGTGAGCATTTCAAGTCAAAGAAACAATTTTATAAAAACATACAGAACAGAACAGAGAGCATAAAGTATTATTTATAAACACACAAAACCATTTATGTATTATATTTTATGCTGAGGTATGACAAAATTATGATATTGGTATATAAATCCTATTTTCTATGACAGTGACATCCAAGCATCGACTTATGAAACTCTCTATGTAGTTTGTGTATAAGAAATTTCTATTTAGTAAATAAAAATTAGTTTTTCCCGAGAAATATGTCATTACTATAAAGATGAGCTATTTGTACTGAGTGGGGAAAGGTGAAGAACTTTATACTCTAAGTGGCCTGCAGATTAAAAAAGGCTAAGATCCAGTACCAGGTAAGATGATTATGCACCCATACTGTGGACACATCTGGGAATTTACTTATTACCAGAAAGTTATGTAGCACATGATTTTTCATTTAAAGAGAAGCAGAGCCTGGCCAGCGTGGCTCAGTGGTTGAGTGTCTACCTAGGAACCAGGAGGTCACAGGTTTGATTCCCCGTCAGGGCACATGCCCAGGTTGCAGGCTCAATTCCCAGTAGGGGGCATGCAGAAGGCAGCTGATCAATGATTCTCATCATTGATGCTTCTATCTATCTCCCTTCCTCTCTGAAATCAATAAAAACATATTTAAAAAAATAAAGAGAAGCAGAGCCTGACTTAATTAATCATCAATCCAAAGGGGAGCGTTTAGACTGGAATCAGTGCGTTCAAGAGCTCCATGAACCTGTTAAATTGACAGAAGGAAGAGCCTAGCCAGCATGCAAGGCTAGGTTTGTAACCACGAAGTCAAAGATTTGTTTTTTATTCAAATCTTTTATGGATGTTGTGAAGCCAGGGCTTATCCAGACCACACAATATCAAAGCTATGGAAAAAGAAAGGAACCATTACAGCAAAATGAACAAAGAAGAAAAGCAGTATAAACATGCTTTGGGGCGATTTTGCTTAAAGAAAAAGACAAAGAATCAGACTATGTCAATAAAATGAGATAAAGGGGCAAAAATAAAAGCAAGTTTTCTTGGTTTGTTTTCAGAAAACTGACAACTGTTAAGAACAAAGCCAAAGATCAACCCAAATACAAAATCACTGATGAAAACTGTAAGTAAAGTAATTAAAGTAAAATAAGGTCATTCTTTTAAGAAATAGAACAAAAATCAATGCTTTTTTTGTATTCCAATACAACTTGATTCACATCAAAACACGAGTTGTGAGTTATTAAGTTTTATAGAATAGGTGATAGATAGTCTTAAGGCACATCTACGCTGTCTCTTTTCTTAATTACTATAGTTCCACTTTATGGTTATGATACATTCAGCTGCTTTTATTTATAAAATATAACTGCCTGGTTGTGACTTTTGTAGGGGGTATAATAGAAATGTTTTATTAATAGAAGTAAATAAACTATCTTACCACTTGGCCTAATTTTTAAGCGTCTTACAGCATTTGAATTCTGTTTTTCCATCCTTTCTTTTCTGCACCTGCCTGCATCCATTCATTTTATTTTTTAACACATGTGCAATAATGAAAGGACTACTGGATCAGGAGTCAGGTAGTCTGAATTCTGCCCTTCAATTTTCTTATCAGTAAAAATGATGTCTTAGGTCTCTTGTATTACTAACACTTTATAATCTGTATTATAATTTTACATGAAAATTTAATGCATTTGAGATAAATATTTCCATAAAAGAATCTTTTTTTGCCTTCATGTCATTTCTTTTTTTTTCTTTGTTGTGAGTATGACATATGTCCCCTTTTCCCCCCCATTGACCCCTCCAGCCATTCCCCCCTTGCCCCAGCCCTCACCACCCCATTGTCTGTGTCCATGGGCCATGCATAGCATACAAGGTCCTTGGTTGATTACCTCCCACCCACCAACCCTCCCCCACCTTCCCTCTGAGATTCCACACTCTGTTCCATGCTTCCATGTTCTGGATCCACTTCGTTTATCGGTTTATTTTGTTACTTAGCTAAAATAAGAATCTTTTTTAATGCTAAAATATTTGCATCAAAATTTTAATTATTAAGTTGAAAGTTTCTTGTTATGAAATTTTACCTATACTGATATATTTTGTGGAAAAAAAGCATTCCAGTATTTTAACAATGTCTAAAAGGGTGTGCCAACATGAAAATTAACTGGAGATTGAGACTATAAATAAAGGCTAGCTCTACATTAGGAAAGCTCTTCCCCCAAATAAACTGGTATTTTTGTTGTTTCTCAAAAAAGTATTTTCCCTTTTATTTTCCTTTTTTTGTAAATGAACTAGAGGCCAGTGACGAAATTTGTGCAAGGGGCTCAGCCCTCGCAGCCCTGGCTTTGTCCGGAAGGTCGTCCGGAAGGATGTCTGGTCTAATTAGCATATTATGCTTTTATTATTATAGATATTAATAGGGTTGGTCTCCTGATTAGTAATCCAGAACTTTTTATAAGAAAAGTATCCTAAAATATACAAAAAATCCTTATTAAATATTAGTGATGAAATGTGTATATATTGCTGTTCCCTACATATCAACTTTGGTCAAATAATAATTCAGCAAAAATGATCATAAACTCATACCAAGGAGCCACGATGAACTTAGCTTATACACACCTGCTGAAACAGAAACATGATCTGGATCCATGGCTGAGGTTCTTGGCTGATGAGAATAAAACTGGATTTACTGTACAGGCAGTAATGGCCCTTCAGGGAGCAGGTGAAGAACAACTTGGCTACACAACTTCTAACAGTATCTAGGAATAAATACACATAGCATTGAACATTCGAGTCTTCTCGGAGTTACACTTTATACTTCAACACACAAACACCTTTCGAAATCCATTCTTCAGCTTTCAGTCTGACAACCAGTAACTCCAAACAGCTGTGTATTTGGGAGTGGATCCACTTCATGGAATGTAGATTTAAATGCAGATGCTTTTATCCATTTTTCTCTGGTTTTAATGAACAATGCATGAGGAATCTCCAAGCAACTAACACAGCAGAGTTAACTTCTCTCCAATAAAAAGGGAGATGCTGTGTCATTTCCTTCTTATTGGGCACCTTGAAAGGATAATGTGGGAAGATTAAGCAAGTGGATGGAGGAAACCCAGCCATTTTTCGATGGTGGATGGTGTGTCATGAATCAGGGCCCCAGTTCACTTGATTGTTCAGGGGCCATGCAGACAGCCTCCAAAGTAGCTGGCCAGAAGTGTGGCTTCCTGTGAACTGGCCTGGTCTGATTCTAAAAGGTCATTTCATCTTGAGGAGCTTCAGCAAGGAAGCTTAATGAGATCATCCTTTAGGGACAAGAAAGTGGGGGAAGACAGTGGTGGTGGAATAGAGTAGAAGTGGTGAGAAGTCATGTATAGGAGGAGCCATTTAATCTTTACAACCCTACAAGATGGGCATTATTCTTGCTATTTTAAAGATGATGAAGCTTAGCCTATTTGAAGGTCAGTGTGACCTTGGTACATGACACACAAGAGATGCTCCTCAGAGAATATCCAGATGAATGAATGATGCTCAGAGATCCAGAAAAAAAATATTGCTGAAGGCTGCCTGACTTGTGGCAGAATCAGGATTTGAAGTCAGCTGAACTGATGCCATGTTGGAACGCTTTACTGGGGATCTTAAAATCTGTAGTCATATTAAGAGTTCATGGAGTATTTATTGCTTCAGAATTAATCTGACATTTTACATGAAACATGTTGAAAGTTAATAGATTCAGTATGCCCTACGATTATAAATGGAAATGGATTAGCATTTATTAAAAGTGGATGGGGACCCTAATAAGGTGGCAGAGTCAGTCCCTATCCTTGCTCCTTTAGGTGTGAAGGCATAACAGGCTTTTCAGGAAGAGTTTGGAAGCGTTCTGGGAAGGTGGCCAATGACAGATTAGAGAAGAAGGCATTGGAAACAGCAATAAATTCACAAGGCAATTTAGAAGTATATACTGGAATCTTAATAATATTAAGCAGCTTTCTGTGATTCTGAAACATTGGTATGAAAGAACTAGTTTTCATGAAGTTAATTGTTTTGGGGAATTAAAAAATGTTGGGTTGAGCATTCAATATCCTTCTTTAAAATCAGAAATCATTCCTGCATTCTGAGGGTGAATGATGGGTCATGACATGTAAAGAGAGTTTGAAGTTTCAGTGGGAAAGACCAGGAGGCCTGGATCTGGGAAAGAAAGACCTCAGAATCGAATGGAGCACCTATCGAGCTAAAATTGCCCTATCAGAAATTGTTTGACAAGGGTAATGAAAAATGCATTTTGGCACCGATGCTCTGAAATTTGGAATTTAATCTATACTAGAGAAATAAGAAACAAGTATATCAAGAGAGCCACACCAAAAATGGTATTTGAAATAAATTGAATGTATATAGACACTGAGATAGCAACATGTTTCTCTTTAATAGAAAGTTTCAAAAGCAAAGTTCTTTCCTAAGAACCCATGTCAGTTGTAAGTTGAACTTCAGACCTCTGCCATGAAAAAAGTTTTTGTCTATTTTCTACACTAAATTCTTACTGCTCATTCATGTTTTCTTTTTGAAAATGAACATTGCTTAGATTTATTTACTCACCCAGAGTCTACCAGCTTTCTATACACAAACCACAGGGGTTCCAGATCACATTAAATGGGTGAAGTGGTAGAGCAGAGACCTTTAACTTAGAAGCATATGCACTGGCTGGAAAAATAAATCAGTTCTGTGACAGAAGGTTTTTGTCAATATTTTCAGTAAAGCTGACCTGTATCAATATTTTTTCTTGTCATTTTTTCTCCCCAGAGCTTTCCAGGCTTGGAAAGTTTTCCCCACAGTATTAATACTTAGTTGTTACCTTTTCTCTGTAATTTTCCTCCCTCCTGTTCATTCAATGGTATTGAATGGTAAACATGCAATAAATTGTTGTTGAATAAATAAATGTCAGACACTGTGAGAGAACAAGAGGGACCATGATGTTGACCCTACTCTTAAGAGGCTTACAGCACAATAGAAATGTCTATAAACAACATTGCTTATAAACATCTAGAAACAAAATTTATAAAAATATTTTTATGCCCATGAGATGGTGGAGGGACACACTATTATGACTATCAGAGAAATGAGCAGTTTATTCTCCCTGAGGAGGAAATATTTGAGGTGAACCATGAAAGATGATCATGATTTTGAACTTAGAAAAAGTGTGAGGGAGACAAACATTTTAAGTGTAGGGAACACCCTAAAAAATAATCACACAAGGTCTGAATGTTCAAGGTAATTCCAGGAAGTAAATTTAGTATATAGGGGTCATTAAGACATAGTATACTCATACAATTGATGCCCAAAGTGTTGTGCATTTTTCTAGACTTAGGTGAAGAGAGAGATTAAACGATAGAACCATCAGAAAGAGTATCTATACAAATTTTCTTAAGTCCATGAGATACTGGAGTTTTGGGAAGAAAAGCACAGAGGTAAAGTGACATTTTCGTCATAGCATACCATTTGATCAACATGACTTATGACTATTGATGTTGACCTTGATCACCTGGCTGAGGCAGTGTTTACCATGTTTCTCCACTGTAAAGGTAATCTCTCTCCCCCCCTCCCCCCTCCCCCCCCACCCACACTTTCCACACTGTACTCTTTTATTTTTAATCCTCACCTGGGGATATTTTTCCATTGATTTTTTAGAGAGTGGAAGAAAGAGGGAAAGACAGAAACATCAATGTCAGAGAAACACATTGATTGGTTGCCTCCTGCATGCACCCTGACCATAGCTCAGGCTGGGGAGGAGCCTACAATCAAGGTACGTGCCCTTGACTGGAATCGAACCCAGGACCCATTGGTCCATGGGCCAATGCTCTATCCACTGAGCCAAACTGGTCAGGGCTCCACATTGTATTCTTTGAAGGGAAGTTACTATGTGAAAGTGGGGAGTTTGCTTTACCTCCTTGAGGGCAAAATAGCTACATAAATTATGCGGAATTCTTCTGCATAGATTTGTCTCTTCCTTCTCCAGTTATTTTATTCAAATTATTTAGTTAATTATTCTATCAGTATGTGCATATAAATATTTACTTCATATTTTAATACTATTTTATTTTTGCTCTGATTGTTCCAGCTTTGGCCATTAAGAGTTCTTTCAGTTGGCTCCTGTGTCCATTTCATGTGCCCTCATCATTGTGTGTGTGAATGTGTGTGTGTGTGTGTGTGTGTGTGTGTGTATTTTTTTTGTGTGTGTACTTATTTACTTTCTGGAACTAAAAGATACTCCTGGCTCGTTTTGTATGTTTCCTGCCCCTCTCTTGGAATCAGCTGTTTCTCCAAGGAGTTCTGGTTCCTTTTATTGGAGAACTAGAGGCCTGTTGCATGAAATTTGTGCACGGGGCAGGGGTGGGGGTGTCCCTCAGCTCAGCCTGTGCCCTCTCACAATCCGGGACCCCTCGGGTAGGGTCCCTAGGCCTGGCCGGTGATCAGGGCCTATCAGGGCTTTCCTTCCCCCAGCTGTCGGCAGTTGGCCCTGCCCCTGACGCTGCCCCTGCTTGCCATCTGTGCAGCACTGCTCCCCCTGCCCCCCCGCACCTCCGCCACTGGTCGCCTCCCTCTGTGGGTGACAGGCATGGGGTGCAATCACTTGGCTGACCTGGGCCTCCATCTGCAGGCGATCGTTGGCTGGCCCCACACATCTGCCACAGTGTTGCTGGCTGGTGGCCTGAGTTTTCCTCTGTGGGGCGATCAATCTCAGGGCCCCCAGATTGATCCCACTGTAGAGGGAGGCCCCGCTCACCTGCCGCAGCACCACTAGCCGGGTAGCCTAGGCCTTCCTCTTTGGGGCAATTGATCGCGGAGCCTCACCATCAATCACCCCGCAGAGGTAGCCTGGGCCTCCCTCTGCGGGGCAATTGTGGGGTTATGGCTGGGCCCCCCAACCAATTGCACCGCACCTGCCTTGGCTGGCCTGGCGCCAGTGCGTGTCATAGTGTGGTCGTCTGGAAGGTCGTCTGGACGGTCATTCTGCTGTTTGGGCGTTCTGTCGATTTACATATTATGCTTTTATTATTATAGATGGTATTAGAAACCAATATCTGGGTTCTAGGTGTGCTTGTTGCTACTGAGGCGGCATTACTCCTTGGCCCTCTCAGCTAAAAGAGTGAGGAAATAATATATGTACACATATGCAATTTTTTTTTCTATATATAACTGTCTTTATCTATATTAAACTAAACATAAGTTCATATGATGACTTCAATTCTAATTCTTTACCACATGGAAAGTTTTAGCCTTGCTTACCTGTAACTCCCACATCAACAGTGAGGAGCCTAGCTTCCATTCCTTTTTTAAAAAAAATACATTTTTATTGATTTTAGAGAGGAAGGGAGAGGGAGAGAGAGATAGAAACATAAATGATGAGAGATAATCATTGATTGGCTGCCTCTCGCATGCCCTCCACCAGGGATTGAGCTTGCAACCCAGGCATGTGCCCTTGACCAGAATCAAACCCAGGACCCTTCATTCTGCAGGCCAATGCTCTATCCACTGAGCCAAACTGCTAGGGTGCCTAGCTAGCTCCCATTTTGTTAGTGTTTTTATCTCTGTGCACTACAGAAGGCAGAATCTCTCTCTCTCTCTCTCTCTCTCTCTCTCTCTCCCTCCCTCGTATCCTCTGTCTCTGTCTTCTCCTCCCTCTCCCTCCCTCTCTCCTCTCTCTTTCTTAAAAAACTTTGTGTATTTAGCCTTTACTATAGTGCTTGGCATAGAGAGGCTTCCTTCA